AAGTAAAGATACTCAGCATTAGTGGGGCATCCTTTCAGCAAGCATAGTGTCCACAGTGCATACTAAGCTTGTGGCCAAAAAAAATTACTGCACTTTTCCAGCTCTACCATAGGAAGCAAGCACCCATGCTTGAAGATCTTGGTGTACCATTTGGTATCAGACTTAGACAAGTTATGATCCAGAATGATTGTGCAATTTAATTTTCCCCAGCCTGTCACTCTGTTGGACTGCAGTTCCCATCAACCTCTGTCAACATAGGCACCATAGATGATGTCATTTAGGTATACAAGATATTCCCATGTTTGGTCATTTTTGACATTCATTAACATTGTTTCAAACTGCTAGCTGTGGAATGCCATGATTTTGTTGTTGATGTCGTCATACTAAATTTGACCTGAGAATGATTTCATGAACTCCTGTAAACAAAATCATGTTAACGGTCACAACAGCAATGGGGACAAGTGAGATCAGAACAATGAGGGGAAAGAAGAGGAAGTTGGTGCCCAGCATCCAGGGGCATAAATCAGAACTGAAATAAGATGAATATTCAGTGCTTTTTGTGTCATGTATGAGGGCAAATATCTAGTGCAGGTCCACTTTCATACAAGGAAAGAGAAAGTACACTACAACCCTACTTTCATATAATAAGGCTAGAGTTGTAGAAATCACTGAAGACTCAATACCATACACAGCTGAATGCTGCCCAGTTGCCCTTCTGATTGGTTGCAGGTTGTGCATCTTAACACCATAGGCATACGGGTTGGAAACTTGTTTGCTTCTTTTTTAAAAAATCCAACAAAGACAGATGAACTATAGCACCTTACTTTTGGCAGCTGAAGTTCTTCTCTCATGCTCATTTAGTATATTACAATCAGGGTTATAATCAGTCAGCATAGTGTAGTAGTTTGAGTGTTGGACTATGACTCTGGGTTCAAATCCTGGTTTGGCCATGTAAACCCACTGGGTGACCTCGGACAAGTCACATTCCCAGCCCCAGACGATGGCCATGGCAAACCCCCTCTGAAGTAACTTGCCAAGAAAAGCTTGTGATAGGTTTGCCTCAGGGTCACAATAAGTTGGAAATGACTTGAAGGCACACAACAACAACAACAACAACAATCAGAGGTTTGTGTGTGTATGTTGTGATTTCACAGAAGAGAGAAAGTGCAGAAATTGAACTGGGAACAAAATTCAGCTGATAATGTGTCTTTCTAAACAAGTTTCTAGTTCAGATGCCTGTGAAGATATAATTTAACACACCAATCCAGGAGCCAGAAAGCTGGATAAATGAGTCTGTAGGTTAAGACTTTAGCAACTCATCTGGCTCCCAACACCACCCCATGACTAGCAAAAAATAGTGTAAATTATAAAGGATACAAAAATAATTAAGAACAATACAAACAATTACTATGTATTATTTATACAGGTAGCAGAGTCTGAATTCTCTTGGCATGGAATTTCAAGATACACAGTTTTGATTATGATCCCCTTGATTAGCAAACCATCAGACTGATTTTAAGTCTAATCAGATCATGCAGCATTCTTCCTATTTGCAAACCATCCCTTGCTAAATGGCAGGGAAGTTGAGCGGGTCATCAGGGAATAAATTCCTGTCAAGGACTTCCTTATCCTTGAAAAAAACACAACCCTGCATGCTTTCTTGAAAATTCTTCACATGAGGATCCTGTTAATCTATTGCATCCAGCATCAATGTGTTTGTCTGCACTTACTCAAGATCACCGCTTCCAGGATTTATGGGGCGGTGGAGGTGGAGAAGAACATCCAAGAGGCTCTGTGACATTGTCCCAACCTTGGCACGTCTAGATAAGAGGAATTAATGCTTCCTGCTACTGACCTCACCCTGACATTCTCCTCCCATAGCATCTTCTGCAAGAAGAAAACAACCAAGGATGGAAGTAGCATACTTTAATTTCAATGATACACAAAAACACGCACATTATATTAGGCTAAGGCCGGGGGGGCGGGGGGGAATCAAGAGCCTCACCTTGAATAGGCAAGAGCTTGGCATGAGAAGACTCTCATGCAACCATCATGATTTTGGTCCTAGAAAGAATTTAAAAAGCAATTTAAGTTGCATAGAAGGAACTATGTTTCCTCCTTTCCTCCCCCCTAGCATTCAGAGATGCTGCACTGAAATATATATATGTATGGGGGAAAGTCTGAAAAAGAGGCAGAACAACTGCCACTGCAGATACAAAGATGGCCTTGCACTCCCATCAATAAATCCCTTGTGCCTTTAAATAGTTTAGTTCTAACCCCCCTGCAATTCAGTACAAATTTTGTAGGATAAATAAAGGGCAGACAGCAGATTAAGGCCTTAGGAGGACAGAAGTGAGAGTAGGCGAGGAGGAGAAGTTTGCAGAATGCTGATTGCTGGAGTACAGCTTCTTCCATCATCGTCTGCTTCTACTGGTCACTGGGGTTTGGATTGGCGTCAGGATACTTGGTGAGGTCAAAAGTCAGGACTTTGCTGATGACACAGTCTCCTTGCTGTGAGGGGAAAAGTGGAGGGGGGAGAAGTCAAGCCAAACTCACACCCTCTCAATCCCTTGAGATCACCACCCTCTATATAGCAGGCACCCCTACATCTCAAACAGGCTGCCAGGGTTTTATGTAAGAGAGGCTTGGACCTAATTTCAAGGATTCACTCTTGCCTAGGCTTAGGAAGGAAAAACATTCGAAAGGCAAAGACAGAATAGTATTTTTCAGAAGGTAAACAAATCTTGAATGGATTGTTAACTCCACTCCTCCTTTCTTTCTTTTTCAAAACTGATATACTGCCCTTTGTGAAAACAGATTCTGAGATACTATCATCCTTTCTATTGTGGGCCAGGTCTCTTCCCTCAAACAAGCAAACATAGATATGGAGCAATATAATCTCCAAGAATGTACAGACTAGCCTTTCCTTCACCACTGGCCAACTACAACCTGACTTAGAAGTGAGGAGCAAGACTTCCTTCCAATGTGGACAAGGGTGCTACACGGATTTGAGACTCAACACCTGGTTTCCCTCGTCTTCTAAGATGCTGCCCTTAATGGTGCCTACAACCCCACTACATGTTGCTACATGACAGGACAGCCTCAGTATATATAATAATAACAGTGGTTTAAGCATTGGACTAGGATTTGGAGACCAGGGTTCAAATCCCAGCTCAGTCATGGAAACCCACTGGGTGACCTTGGGTAAGTCACACTCTCATCCTCACACTCTAAGCTATAATCATCACCATCATCATCTTACAGATCTTGACTTTCAGATCTTAAATAATTTAAAATATGTAAATTATTATTTATCAAAATATTTAGCTTGAGGCTTTCAAATTTTATCCACTGATATGGCTTTAAAAGGATCTGCACAGAGGTGTGTGTGTCTATCTGTGAGGGTGTGCCACAATACATCAGTTACTCATATTCACAAGGAGCATTCAGCAGCATGCTGCCTGCAATCTATTTCCTCTACTCCATTCCATACCTCGGGGTAGACTCCAATGAGGCTCTCAGCCTTGGTGTAGAATTCCTCTTTCAAGGAAATAACAATGGCCTGAAAGTTGCAGGTAGATTGCTCCTTGATGTAATTGGCCACCTGGAGAGGAGGAAGATGAACAGAAGAAATGAACGACCTTTCCCCACCTTTCTTCAAAACTGAGCCAAAAGAGCTCAGCTGCCCATCTAATCTCACTTTCTACAAACCTTTCCAATGTTGGTGTTGTCCAAAGCTGCATCAATTTCATCCAAGACAAAAAACGGAGCTGGTTTGTAGCTGGGAACAGAAAGGAGACATGAATATCTGAAGGTGCCTTATACGGAGACAGAATGTTAGTTCATTTAGCCTAGTAATGTCTACTCTGATTGGCAGCAGCTTTCTAGTGACTGAGACAAGGGGTCCTACTGAGTGCTGCTACCCATGCAGACGTTGAGACTGAAACTGGGAATAAACATGTTCTTCCCCATGTCGTGCTCCCCATCTTAATCCAACCTTCATTCCCCCAAATCCTGAGGAACACAGCCAGAGAAGCTACCAAAAGACCCCCATGTCTGTACTATAAATAAAAACTCATGGGTTGTTTGTGTAGAGAACACAGTGCTGTGGATTAGGAATGAGCAGGATCTGAGAAAAATTCACCCCCTCCCTAGACCACACTTCCTCCCTCAAATGCAGTTCCCATCCTCCTCCATTTCCCCCCAGAAATCTCCCCACATCAGAACAAGGCCCTGCACTTTGCTTTAGAGGAAAATTGCTGAGTCTTCCAGGAACAACAATTCTTTTCTCGACTGAAGTTCTTTTCAATGGATTGGTGGGATTCCATGCCCATAAAAATGGGCTGGGGAATCCCATGTAGTCTGTTTGTTCCTCACTGCTGCTAGATAGAATTTAGAGTTTCAAAAGTTTTCCCAAACAGTGAGGCAGGACTCTAACCCTTATGGATATTTATGGATGTCCTATACACATAGTATCTGCAAAAAGATACCCGTATTCAGTGGAAGGAGGATTTGTATCAACACATCCAGTTACTCTTGCAACATTCCCTTCTCATGGTCCTAAATCCTCTGTGTGAAAAGAAATATGTTTTACCACCTGATTATTCCAACTTCTATATAAAACTACAGGAAGAAAGAGTCAAAGAACCATGAACCATGATGAATCTCTGCCACCAAGCTACCCTGCAAAATCTTGAATAATCATGAACCTAAACTTTCTTCAAGTACTAGTGCAGACCCAACCTTCCTTAATACAAGGCTGACCCTTACCTGTGGATGGCAAAGAGCAGAGCTAAAGCTGCCACAGTTTTCTCCCCACCAGACAGGTTGTCCATGGGCCGGAAGCGCTTGCCAGGGGCTACACAGTTGTAATTGATGCCATCCAGGTAAGGCTCCTCAGGGTTCTCAGGGCCCAGGAAGGCCTACAGAAAAAGGAATGAAGGAGCAGTGAGGCAGAGGGAGACTATGAGACTTCTTCATTCCCACAGTCAATACCTGAAGCCAGCATGGTGTAGTGGTTTGAGTTTGGGACTACAACTCTGAAGGCCACGGTTCGAATTCCTGCTCTGGCATGGAAATGCACTGGGTGATCTTGGGCAAGCCACACTCTCTCAGCCTCAGAAAGAGGCAAAGGCAAACCCCCTTTGAATAAATCTGACCAAGAAAGTCCTGTGACAGTTCACTTTAGGGTCCCATAAGTCAGAAATTACTTGAAAGCACAGAACAACAACAACTCAACATGTTTGTGTGTGAGTAAACAAAACTGAAGGGATTGGAGTTGGGGGATAAAAACTAAAGAAGGAAAGAGGATAAAAACCAGAGGGGCTCTGTAGTGACTGCCCTGCCTGGGGATTATAAGGCAGAGCTGTGGCTTCTAGAAGCTTCTAGCCACCAGCAGCTGAAGGTGTGCTAACAAGTCCCCCTTCTCAGAAAAGTTGCTCTCTTATCCTCTGTAATCTCTCTTTTCAAATGGGCTCAAACAGGGCCACTTTATCTATTAAATATGCACAGAGCCTTGAAATGTTACCCAGAATCCCCCAGGTGACAGCTCTTCCAGGCTCTATGTATCTTAATGGTGTCAACTAAAAAAGGAGACCAGCGTGGTGTAGTGAACACCAAACTACAATTCTGGAGACTAGGAGTCGAATCCTGCTCAGCCAGGGAAATCCATTGGGTAATATTAGACAAGTCATTCTCTCTAAGCCTCAGAGAAAGGCAAGCCCCTTTTGCCAAGAAAACCCTGTGCCAGGTTTGCCTTAGGGTCCCGTAAGTCGGAAATTACATGAAGGTACACAACAATAATTAATATTTGGGACTCTTATTCCAGTATTACAAAAATACTATTACATCTTTAAGAATGGGCTTTGGTGAGAGAAGATGAAAGGATGGATCCTATAAAGTCTGTTATTATAACCATATATAACCAAGGAAAGAGAAAAAGTCTGTGTCTGTGCACGTCAAACATTCCTAACAACAGCAGTTTTGTGGAATACAGACGCATGTGAATTCTTGTTATATGCTCAGAAATGTAGCTATTATGACACCGATTTTTTAAAGCAGGAACAGGGAACATGTGGACCTCATGTGCCCCCCCCAAGACTTCCCTCAAATTTTGAAGTTTGAACATCAGCAGCAATCAAGAAAAGTCATGCTGAAGCAAGTTATTTTCCACTTTTTAAATGGCTTCTTCTGGATTGCTGGGAAATTCAGTGGTATGTTTGCCAGAAAATTACAGTAGTGTATCAGTGGTGTGTATACATACAAGGCCCATAAATAGCCACAGCTGGGAGTGGGGGTTTTTAAATGCCCATCCCTGCTTAAGTTTTTAGTTCTCATGTTTGGAGAAATTCTCCATTTGGAAGCTGGGACTGATGATTATTTAGGTCAGGACAATGGGAGCAGGGAGAATAAAGCTCACCTTCTGTCACAAATAAAAGTTGATGCTATTGCAGACCAATTGCTGAGGACAATGTGCACAGACTCTGAGGTAGCTAAGGATACATATGTGGAAGGAAGTCTGTTTCTACACAAGTGTGATTCAAGCTGGATCACAGTGATTGCCAGAAAGCAGAATTGTTCTGAGGATAATAGGGGACAATGTTTCAAAATCCAACAAATGGATAAATAGCATATTTTGCATATAAACCGGAAGAGTAACAGTAACAGCTAGGCTGTAATCAATCTTATGAAGTGCTGATTGATGTTTTAGAAGACACTTTTGTTTATATTTGGAAGGCAAATTGACATGAATACAGTTTCTATGGTCAGCTTCCAAAGAATCGTCTTAATTCCCATGTGTAATGGAATGTTGATCTCAATTTGCAGCAAATTGGTTCCCAATTACAAAAAACTCAAACCTTGGACAGCTAGGAGGAGGAAGAAAGGCAGAAAAGTGACATTTGTTCTTTTATGGGCTCTGTTCCATTTTAACATTTTAAGAAATGGCTCTGTTGTAACAACTCCAGAAATGTTTAAACAGGCTAAAGGCATCTGATTGTGTTTATGTTCCAATTCTGCGGATGTGATTAAAAACTGCAGAATGTCATAATGCATATAGAATTTAGTTCAAGCTAGTGTCCTGTAATGGTTAGGCAATCTGACTAGAACTGAGGAGATCCAAGTTCACTTAGCCAGGAAGCTCACTGAGTGATCCTGAGCTAGTCACGATCTTTCACCATAACCTATCTCGCAGTGCTGTTGTAAAGACAAAAATACAACCTTTAGCTCCTTAAAGGAAAGGCAGGATACATATTTAATAAAATATGTAACAAATAAAGTTTTCTAAATAAAAATAAACAAATCCTCAAATGAAAAACAGAACAGCAAGTTGCTAGCCCTGAAAAGGTATGCCTAAAAGTGGGTGATTACTACTGAATTCTGAAAAGTGAGAGAAGTGACTGCATAAAACAGTTAGTGATCTGGAAATGCAAACAAAATAAAGCAAATCTGTTCCATATGTGGTGGACCTACGAGTCAGCAGTGAATTTTTGGAAATCGATTCATACAAAAATCAAAGACATCCTTCTATTTCAATTTAAATTGGATGTAAAACTATATTTACTGAATATAACAGAAGAACTAAATCATAAAACTAGTAAGGCAGAAAGAGAGGTGGTATATATGATAACAGTGGCCTGCCTAGTTTTTGCCAAATACTGGAGAGAGAATAGGGAGAATTTAGAAGAAGAATGGTAAATAAAATTAATCGACTTAATGAATATGGACAAGCTGACAATGATGATTAAAGGCAAAATGGATAAAAAATCCCATGAGAAGTGGGAAAAATTAGAGAAACTCTGGAATTAAGTACTGACTGGAATTATATTCAAAATAAGACTCAGTAACACTTCCTAACAATTATATGTGGATCTTTTATGCAAGAGATATTATTGGAAATGAAATTTGTGTAATAATAGTAAGGTTAATATGTATTAAGTTTAGAGAAGAATAGAATATATGTCAAACTTATCTTACTGCTATAAATTTGGAAATAGATTATAATAATAATAATAAAAAAGTTAGTGATCAATGGTCAGTGTCCAGCATAACTCTTTGTCTTCCCCATGAGTAAGATGACAAAACTGAACAGTGCAAAAGGCAGAAACATTTGTGGAGAAGTATGATAAAAGAGAGATTGTGCAAATTTGCATAATTTATATGATCTGATAACATCCATCTTTTTTCACTCAGAATTTAGGTTCCTGAATTTAAAGCAATGTTTCTCAGCTGTTGGTCAGCCTGATGTTTTGGACACTGGCTCTCAGAAGTCTCAGCCACCATCGCAAATAGTCAGGGATTCTCAGAACTGAAGTTCAATATCATCTGGAGGACAACTGATTGAGAATGACTGCTTTGAAGAATGGCTGACACCCAGCTAAGAATGTGATGCTGTGGGATGGTCTATGGAAGGTCAGGGGGCAATCTCACCTGGGCACTGCTGTTTCGGGATAAGGCTTTGTAGATCTCATCTATGTTGGTTGCCACCGACTCAAAGCAGGAGTTGAAGCGGTCAAAGCGCTCCTTTTTGATTTGCTCAAAGGCCTGTTTGGCTTTCTTAGCACGTTTTCGAGCAGCCTCGAATTCTGCCAGGGTAGAGGGAAAAGAGAAAGGATGAGTGTTCACAAGTCTCTGGAGAAAGCTTCCAGTGGCAAGTTTTAAGTCTTCCAGGCTAGTGGTTCACAAATTTCAGTTGCTTTGGACTGCATGGCCCATGTATCTGGGAGTTGAGATCTAAAGCATCTGGAGAACCAAAGGTTGAGAAGATGGTTATACTGTCTAGGTCTGATGGGAGTTGCAGCTCGACAACATCTGGAGGACCACAGGTTCCCCAGCCTTGCCCTAGCTAATGAGGAGGCCACACGGGTAATCCTGTACCATCAGAGGTCTCCTGGAACTTGTCCCGCACACTCTCCAGCTTCTCCATGGCCTTCATGTTTGGTGCAGCAATGCGCTGCAAGATACTCTGCTGTTCGTTCAGCTTCTGTTGCAACTGGTTCATCTCTTGCTTGATCTCATCTTCAGCCTGAACATCCTGTAAGGAAAAAGACAGGAAGTAGCTCCAGAAGTCAGAGTACTAAGCAGCCACCCCAGATTGAGAGATTTCAAGAGAAAACTAGATGCGTCTCCCTTTAAAACCACTTGCAAAGGCAACTGCTCCAATCACCCTGTGATGGAAAAACCAGGCAACTCCTTGATTTCCTCATGAGTAGCTGCCCCCACCCATTTTACCCCTCTGTGGTCCACAGGAAAGAATTCTCATATCTTCAGCTTTAGCAATCCGGGTGGGTGAAGTGCTGTCAGTAATAACTGCATAACTTCCCTACTCCTCTGTCTCAATCACTGACTCAGCTTGGACCAAACAATATGGGACATGGCTGAGGGAAGGGAAATGTTAAAGGGCACAACCCCATATTCCAACTGAAGAGATTTTATAATCTTATAAGATTTCATCTTTAAAAAACAGGTAAGGGGAAAAAAAGTCAGATAGCCAAGTTAAAGGAAACATTTTTATACTCTAGGTAACTATGGTAAGTGGCCCCTAAAGATAAGTTCAAAACTTATGTGTGATGCCACAGAGGTCATCCCTGGTTTGGTGGAGACAAACAGGGAGTAGATGTGGATGAGAAAATACATAAGAAAAAATAGCTGCATTTTATCCATGGAGAAGTGGAGGAAAGAGTGAAAATGGGAATCCAAAGAGGTGGAGGAGAATCCTCAAGGTGAACTAACTCTTGATGAAGGATGTTTTGGTTGTACACACAAGGGAGGACTTGTCTCCACACAGGCTGGGTGATTTACAGACACTCTAGGTTAATTTCTTTGGATTGCCAGACCTGCCTGCCTCTGAGCAGCATGTCTGATGTCATCCAAATAAAGCTCTCCTTTTGCCCTCAGTCCAACTAACTGGGGTCAGGAGGCACAAATCAGAGGGATTTCCCTTCTGGTTTCTGACAGACCAGTTTAGATGGAGAAATGACATCTGGTAAATATGGGAGCAATACATGACATCAGTCATTACCACAATGTCTGGAGAGGATACAGGAGACAACCTTTTCAGTGATTGCTCCCAAGT